TAATGAAAAATATATATATAATAAATAGATATAATTATTTATACATAAATATTTATATATTTAGAGATATCAAAATTTGAACGATTATTTTTTACGATACGACACACACTATGTTACAGCATTTGTACCACTCACTTCAATTGCACGGAAATCATGGGTCCCAGATCACTTATTTTCCTTAGTATTATTGTTTTTTTTTTATAAGTACGAGTACATCAAATTTATTTGCAGATTATGTAGGGTTATTCATTTATATCATTCAAATAATAATTTGTTTACAAGACGAAGAAGCATTAACGTAACTAACATGAACACGGATGTACTAATACTTAATTTTAGCAAATATAATAACGATAATAAGCAATAAGACAATCAACGTTAGAACAGTTAAATATTATTATGGTGACAGAGAACTAACTATAATTTAATAGATATTCTTTTAGATAAAAATTTAATATTGAATGTAATAGATTGAAAAAGGTTATCAAATAAAAAATAATAATAAATCCATTATTATGTTAACTCTTAAAATTTCGTAAAAATTTTCTTCCAAAATTTATACGACTCGTAGGGGTCGTACACTCAATAATTTCACCTTGTCATAAACGGTCAACAAATTAAGAAAAATAGATGCTTTCTAGAGATTATTTGTGTTTTTTATACAATAGTCAATTTGAAGATAAATACAACGATCAAACCAATAAGTCTTTTTCACAGATAATGCGCGAGGAACAGCAAGTAGAAAAGAAAAGGACGGTATACGGAGTGTCTTTGACATTATGGTAAAAACGGTCAGGTAATGTTTCTATATGTAAAATAGGTCTAAAAATAAGGAATAACTAGAAAACTAAAGCCAAGCGACCTTAACGTTAGTGTTTGTGAACATTTCATATTAGGTTTCTGTTAGATTTATTAATTTACAATAATTCTGTTAGAATTATTAATTTACAGGTAGTAGTTAATATTATTGTCATTATTTTGAAAAATGCTTTTATGCAGTTGTCAAAATTATACCAGCGACGAAATAAAAATTTGGCAATATAACCGGCGTTATGTTCCTTTCATATGTAACTTCTTCGTAAATATTTCGGAAACTAATACTTATTACAGCTTCTACATATATAGGAAAAATTTGTTCAGAATGATGACCTTGATAATGTCAACCTACTGACTTTATTCCGAATAATTGCCTTAGATTTTTATCCTTAGGTTTTTTATAAATTTAGTTTGCGCATACTGTAAGTATTATTATATGTAATTGTGTTATTATTATATAATTTCTAAAATGATTAGGATTTTAATATCGTTTTCCAAGAGAACGATTGAAGTTTAATTCGTGTTATCTTTGAAATTTTTTATCATTATAACGAGTGCAATACGATGCAATACAGAATTTAAACTCGAAATTCAAAGTCCAAAATAATATTTTGATGACTTATCGTTCGATCTCGATCGATCATTGTCAATCTGATGGTGCATAATGTGCTCATGATAGTCAAGATCAAACATTTCCTTGCACCCTGCAGCCGATGTACAGAGTGTTCTTTTTATATAGAAATTACGAACGTTTAAATTATTTTCGTTACTATTGTAGCTGAAAAAAAGGTTGATTCGAATAATTTCACAGCATGAATATTATAACAATAAGAAAAAAATCTGTATAATTAAGTATAAATGACCATAAATAACCTGCTTCCTCGACGGGAGAATCTTCATTTGTAATCTAAAGATATCAAAATTAAATATGTTCGCACGACGTGGTTAATCAATGGAACAAAGAATGTGGCTTGATTCACATTCGTATCTCTCGATGGCAGGAACACGTAAAAATGCATGCTCGCATGTCATGTATGAGGAAATAATTCTTTGTATAATAGTTAGATCTACACTACTCTATTCTCGATGTAGCAGATAAAAATGAAAGCACACACCATATTTATAAAATTGGATTTTCTACGCGTGATCATTTTTGCCCAATATAACAGCCTGTACTCTATTTTTTTTATACTTCTTATTCTTTCATAGGTTTGTTTTTTTATAAGAACATTCCACACCTGTAAATCAAACCATTTTTTAGAATATTTTGCAAAAGTAAAATGGTTGTAAAACTGCGTTTTCGAGAAAAAAAGTTGGGAGATGCGTCAAGTTCGCGTGGTTGTCGAGAAGTAGAATTGGTATGTCATGGCCAGACGCACCGTTTCATTTCTATTCTATAGTATTATTTTTTCAACTTATCTTTTTCGAAAATGGAGCCTTAAATGGAAAAATGTTTTTTTTTCGATTTGTATGTAGAATCATCTCCTGGTCGGTTATACCATGATTTTGGCCCCAGTCTGTATAAAAAAAAGTCTGACAGACAACATTTAAAATTGTTATCCCCTCTAAACAACTACATTCGAAAAATCGAACGAACGAGACAAATGAAATTTACTTATAAGGGAAGTCAACATTTCGCTAAATGTACTTCTGGTAGGTAGCGCAGATAATACGATGTTTGTAATCTTCCGAACAAAGCTTCTTTACATAATTGCAATCGAACTTTACTTACAAGTAAATTCGTTTGATCGTTCAATAATAACTAAGACACGACAGAGTTTTATAAAATGACAATCGCTTGCACTCACAATTAGTACTTAGGCCGTTAATTCTGACTTCCCCCGCATTTCTCAGTGCCAACCAAGAAAACACTTCACATTTAACACTTCTAACGATTTAATTAATTTGGATAAAGTATATTATATATATTTGGATATAATTATATCCAAATTACTATATAATTACTATATAATGACTATACTTAAGTCTTAGTATATATCCAGTTCATTCAATTCTTTCAATTCACATCCTCTGGTCGATTCCAGTCGCTAGTATAAAATCCACTACGGTGCACTCTTACTGCTCGAGGTGCATCAACTTAGTAAGTTACGAGGCTATCTAACATTCCTCCCGTTGTAGGTTCCGGTGATGAAACAAACGCTGGCTCAGCTACAACTAACAACCTCTTACACTCTCTCAACAAAACGACTCCTCGATCTTTAATTAGATAACCAAATAGAAAAATGGGAAACTTATAATTTGGTTTTCTGTTTGTTTTTTATTAGAATAAAATCTAGATACAAAATAGTCACTCGAAACAGTAATCTGAACATTTTGCTGGTTACACTGAAGACTTATAACAAGTTTAGATATAAATACTGTGTGTTGCTAAAAGAATAGCGAAATGAAGTAGAGACAAGAGAAAGTTCTCCCTGCCTCATGAAAACGTTAATTATTTTATTTTTAATTTTTATTGTATCTTTACTTAAAATAATTTTTAATTACTTGAAATTGTATATACTTTTATAATAGAGAATTATCCAAACAAGAGTGTTTTACTGTTGCACTGCGATCTGTGTTGTAAAAGAAGACTAAGTTTATATAGATATAATATAGTACGTATAAGTAATACTTTATATTCTTAAAAGTAAAAGAGCATTTGTAACATCTAAGAAGTTTCTCCACTACTTTCTGAAGAGTTGACATATTTTGCAATCCAGATTATGCCATAGGGGATATCTTGTTTCACCACTGCATATTTCTCTGCTTGAAATTCTGAAAATTTATGAAAAAAAAACGAAAAATTAATTGAAAAAAAAAATAAAATTTGAAAGTATTTACTGCAAGAAGAAAAATGTTCTGAAAATTCGAATACAATACTTCGCATTTTTAACGTTAAATTCAGTCAGTTAAATAAACCTACCTAGGCAGTAAGAAAATGCACGTGCAACATCAATTTTAGTGTAACTGTCTGACGAAATTAATTCATGAAATTTTACATTTGCTTCATCGCGCCAACGAATTTCCAAGAATGCTTTCAATTCTGATTTTGTTAAAGTTGCTTTGGGACTGTAATGAAAATAAAATAAGGAATTTGTATAAGAAACAATTAATTAGCGGTAAATAAAACTTACAAATAGAAAGAATACAAACTGACCTTAACGAACTAGTTATGGATTTTTCTACATGAGGTGGTATCTCTGAAAGCTCAATAGGTTTTCTAAAAAAAAAATTAATTAGGCTTCGATCATAAAAATGTATTTATCTAGAAAGTATAATGTTTAAATTCATCATACACTTTTTTGTATTTGGGGCCATTAATTTCTGGGACAGCTGGCAAAGACACTTCAACTTGTTTTTCTGAGTCTTCTATTTGCATTTCAAACAAAGTTTGTTGCATGGTGTGCTGAATCGGTTGTATCTTTTCTACCGTTTTTGAATGTTCACTTATATCGGTAATAGGTAAATCAATTTTACTTGTCATTTCATCTGTTCTTTCATGTATTTTACTTGTCATCCCTTCACGTACAGTGTCTTCCTCTATACAATTAAAGTAAACGTGAATTAAAAAGAACTGTCTTGATTTATTATGAATATAAAAGAATTTAATATTACCGTCCATGTCTGGAAGCTCATTTTCTATTACAGGTCGTGTGATCATATGTTTAGAGAAAAGCTCATTTAACTTTTTTGCCAGAACTCCGTGTGAAATTTTTGAGCAGGGTTGTTGTAAATAATAATCTACTGAATGAGTACGTGTACTAGATAACCACAGTTCCTGCAAAAAAAGATTGAAATTATTTATCAATATTCTCGTATAACATTCATTTCTTTTACATACATATACATATGCATATTGTAATAATTATCATAATAAAATGTTCTTTCACTAATTGATGAAACTATTTATCATCTTTTAATGTAAATCTGCATTAAATTATTTAAAATTTTATATACAGTTACGATTTTTAATATGAAAATACTTACTGTGGTGTGTGCCTTAACATTCGAAATCATATTTCTCATCTCTCCATCAGATAATGCAATTTCGTTATCGGCAAATTTTCTTCTCCGTCTCCTTCCTCGTGGTTGCTCAACCAATTCGATCTCATTGATATTAACTTGTTGTATTGGAAATTCCTGTATAATAATAGGCTCTACGATCGAAGGTTCTGTAGGATGCTCAACAGATTCTTGCACGGGCCGTTTTTCATGTGGGGCAAGTACTATTGAAGGCACATCAGTAGATGTTGATGGCACGTCTACAGACGCGTCTCTTACTGCTTCTTTTGTGCTTGTCTGTAAAATCAAGAATTACAGATAAAAAATATTTTTTATAAATAAAAAAATATTACTTTCAAGACGATAATATTAATTCTAAGAAATATTAACGATTAATGTTTTCAGATCAATCGATATATTTCTAAAATATATTGTAAAGAAATGTTTGAAAAATAATGATAAGTAATAATGTTAAAAGCGAAAATTATATTTAAAAATTACTGTTAAAACAGAACAATTTTTCTAGTTCTAGACTACTTCTGACAAAAAATGATTTGTATTTCACTAAAAGATCCAAAGTTTTTCTCAAGTCGTACTTTTCGTTTCTTCGTAGGTGTTTCCGGAAGTGACTCCGTAGGTCTTTTTCTTGATGTTGTAGGTTTCTTGAACTGAGTACCTAAAAAATATAACCGAAGAAAATTATATATATGTATCCTTTTTTAAACAATATTATTTATTTTATAATGCGACAACCTTCAACATCTCCAATATCGATTGTTTCGCCATTAAGATTATCAAGATTTACTTCTGCTACAGATTTTTCAATAATTTCCTGCGGCTGAGTCCAGATCTTCCGTAAGTAAGAAGCTACGTTTGTATCTCTTCGACATTTTTCGATAATTTCCTGTGGCTGATTTCTAGGAAACGTCCGTATTTCGTTCCTAGATGATAGATACAAAGCAGTAAAGTGATAAGAAAAAGATATAGTCTGTATTATTTATATAAGTCCGTATTAGTGTTTCAAAGCACATTCATTTTCTCTTTCATACTCTTAGACAAATAATTTAGAACTTATAGTAAAACGGAAGGGAATGGAAGTGGTGGAAATATAGAGAACTAACAGGAACTGCTCTTCTGCTTGGGGTAAGAGGAACTCTTCCATTTCATAATCGGTTAACATTCCGAAACTCAGTTCACCTTGTATCTACATTCACAACAAAATTATTAAAAATTTAAATAGTTGCGGACAAAGTTAAAAGAATGTATATTTATTAACTGTAGTTACCATGTACTCAGAAACGAAAGGGACGTCCTCGATCAAATTCCTGTCTCTATCTTGATGGTAGGATATTTCGATAGGAGGATCACTGAACCTGTGTTTCCGACTAAAAAATTGCATTTTCTATATTCTATAGATATTTTTAAGAACTATTATTTACAATCCTAAATTTACTAAACAATTTGACTCGATTGTAAGTAAATTAATGTATTCATAGTATACATAGATATTATTAGGGGTACCGGAAAGTCTTCTTGTATTTTATATTCTTTAATTATAATACATTTTTACCTACTGTACATAAACATACTATGTATAAATATGCTTATTGTACGTTTTTAAAAAGAAGCAAAAATATGAAGGCGAGAGATTACATCATTAATTAAATATATTTATTTTTATCGTTTCCCTACGTAATTTTGTAGTAAAAATGAAAAGACTTCTCAGTAACCCTAATATTTTTATTTAATTATTAATATTATTTATTTAATAATTGAAATGCAAAGTC